TATTTTTAATCTTCATCACTTTAAATATGTCATGCCAATTTCTCCTAGTCTGTAAGGTTTCCACTGAAAAGTCTACTGCCAGACATATTTGAAGTCCATCGTATTCAAGGTGATTATTGATAGATAAATTTTATGATCACCGATTTGTTAATTGTTTTCTGGTTGTTTTGTAGTTTGTTTCTTCCTATTTTACTTTCTTTTTAAGTGACTTTGCTTAATAGTAAGTTTTGATTCTTTGCTTTTTTATCTTTAATGTATATATTATAGATTTTAGCTTTGTGATTACCATGAGGCTTACAAAAAACATCTATTACACATAACAGATTATTTTAAGCTGATACAAATTAACTTTAATTGCAATATTTTAGAAAAGTCTCTACATATTAACCCCAACTCTCCTCTGTACATTCTGAGTTTTTGATGTCATAATACACATTTTTATGTTGTATATCCCCTAGGAATTTATATAAATATTATTTTAATAATTTTGCCTTTTAACCTTTATATTAAAGATATATGTGATTTATACACTACTATTACACTGTTAGGATATTCTGAATTTGACTGTGTGCTTACTTCTACCAGTGAGTTGCTGTTTTTGTTTTATTTTTAACTTTCAGATGTTTTTGTGTTACTAATGTCCTTTTCTTTAAGTAAGCTTGAGAAAACTCCCTTTAGTATTTCTTGTAAGATAGGTCTGGTGCGAATAAATTCCCTTAGCTTTTGTTTTTCTTGAAAAATCTTTATCATTCTTTTTTTTTCTTTCTGATGAACAGATCTGATTTTTATACTGTTTCTTCTGCAAATCCTATTTGGTAAATGTTCTGTCTCTTGATGGTATCTCATAATTCATTAGGCTTCCTTTATTCTTTTTTATTGTTTTGTCTTTTTGCTCTTCTGACTGGATAATTTCAAATGTTTTGTTTTTTAACTCACTGATTCTTACTTCTACATGAATCTGCTGTTGAAGCTTTCTATTAAGTTTTTCATTTCAGTCTTTGTATTATTTATCTCTCTGGTTCTTTTATTTTGTCTGTTTCTTTGTTCATCTGACCTTTGTGTTTATTGTTTTTCAAATTTCATTACATTTTCTATAGGTATTTTTTTTAATTTACCTAACTTTTTAATGAATATTATTCTGAATTCTTTATCAGCCATTTCATAGCTCTTCATTTTGGAGGGTCTGTTATTGTAGGTTTATTAGTTTTCTTTGGTGGCATCATGACTACCTGATTCTTTGCAATCCTGTGTCCTTGTGTTATTGTCTATGCATTTAAGAAGACATCTCCTTCTTCTGGCCTTTACAGATATTCTTTGGCAGGTATAGAGCTGCATTATTTATCTAGCCTATGATTATGTAAGGGCCAGCTAATGATGACATTATGGAGGCAGTGCTTGTTGTGAGTTATCTAGTGAGCTGGGGGTGCTGCCATTGCTTTCATGTTGTCGGGGGCTACTAGCTGAGGTCTGTTGACTGGTGAGACCACTGGCTGGCTCTGCTTTCAGGTGGAGTTGCTGGCTAAGTACTGCATAGGCTTCTGGTCAGGCCAGTCACAGGATTTATTCCCTGGCTGGATAATCTCACTCTTTGTTATCTGCAGTTTGGCAAGGGCTGAAGAGTGGGCTCTGAGGTTAGGCAGGGAAATGAACTGAGGCTGTGCTCCTTTGTAAGTATGAAATTAGAGATTGCTCCCCTGTCTGGGTTGAGCTGTGGGGTTGGCCTTTGGCTGAGACAAATGGCTGCTTGATTTCCTGGTTGAAGTAGTACTAGCAACTCTGTTTTTCCAAAATGCACAGAGGTGGCAGTCTTCCTTCCTAAGCAGGATCATTAAGCAGGCATTTTGGGTGTATGGGGCTGCTGCTTGCCTTCATGGGTCAAGTCAGTATAGCTCCTTTACTTATCTGAGACCCACAGGGTAGAAGTCTCTCTTCCTGGATGAGATCATTGGGAAGGGAGGTGGGGGGCGGTTCTGAGGCTGGGTTGGGAGGAAAGCCGTCTAGGAGCTTAAGCTAGATTGTGCTTCCCATCCTACTTCTAAATGCCAAAATGCCACCATCTCAGCTTTGCAGGTGTGTTATGAGACTGGCTGATATATCTGATCAAGTACTGAAGCTGGCAGGAAAGCAGAGGTACCACGAAGATCTATGTGCTAGTCCTCTTTGTTTTTGCCTGACTCATCAGGCAGTCAAGCCATGTTGATTTTACCACTATTCGCTGTGAAGTCAGTCCTGACTGGGCTATCTGAGAATGCTAGGGAAGCTGGATTCAGTTTTTGTTTTTCTTTCTCTCTGAAAAAAACTGAGTTAAGGAAACTCTCTCTGTCTGGCACTATGCTGACTTGGGGCAAGAAGTTGCTTGTTTGTTTGGAGAGAGAACCATTCCTCCTACCCTTCTAAATTCAGATTGTGTTTCATTCTGCATGCCATATGAGTATCTCAGGATTATTTCCAGATGTTGGAGTTTTTAAAAGGATGTTCTATTTTATGGATAGTTACCAGTTGAACTTTCTTAGTTGGGCCCAAGACTTCTCACTCTAAAATCTTGCTGATAGCATTCCCATAGAAAAAGTGATTTTATTTACACAAGCACATTACATGAAACCATTGGTGGATGAGTATTCATACGTCACATAGGATTCATGTTATGTGTAGGCAATGGGTACCTTGATCTTGTGACTGTTACCTTTCTCTAAATCCATACTGTAGCTGACTTTTCTGATGTGATACTCAATTTTAAATTTTAATGAAAAGTCAACTGAGATTATTAAGCTGAGAATAAATTAGCTCTTCTTTCTATTTTAATGCTATATTGAATTTGTCTAGGAAAAAAATGATTAAGTAGACAGATTTGGAGTTTACTGCCATTTAAAATATCTTTTGTAAAAAAAAAACTCCTGCTTATACCTTTTCTACCCTTTTGGAAGGTACTCTTTAATCTCATGCCTATGAGATTTTAATTGTAGACCTATTTTCTTTACAATGAAAAGATAAATGTTAGACCAAAGCTCAAACAAAACATAATAAATTATACAGGATAAGAAGAAAGATAGATAGATAGAAGAGTAAATGACATCCTAAAATACTCTATAAGAGTGAGAAGTGCATTTTCTTCTTATGTGTGACTGTGATGATATTCTACATTTTATTTACTATTCACACTTTTTTATTGTCTTCCTCGACATTCCTCTTAATTTTGTCAATTAATGTTTACATCTCTTAAGAATCAACACTCACAACTGCTTATGGCCAAAAATGCCATCAAGTTTACCTTTATACCGATTTAATTTCACTTTTTCACCATCCTTTGTTTATAAGTCCTATAGAAACTAAAAACATATTAATTTTGTTTTAATGAACATAAGCATTCTGCTAGAAGTGGTTTTTTTTTACTGAATTCAAGGCCCATTTTTCTTACTTGGTGGAACTGTCATTGTGCATATATATCACCATACTGTATATTTGAAAAAGTATGGGTTTGAATAAAGCATTGATCTGCTATCCACAATTTCTTCCTTTAAATTTTATTTATTTGTTTCTTGGCTTGCTTATTTACTGAAAGTACGAAAATTTGACTAGTATCTTTCAAGAGCAATGAAATACCAGGAATAATGGTTATAAAACTTTGCGTATGTATTTTTATTTAATATTTCTTCTTTCTGTCTTTTCAGATGAGATCAAAATATGATCTAAATGTACTAACTTTATTACCATTTTGAAATGTGCCCTGTGGTCACGTTTGTTTAATATATTTCATTTGCCAAATTTCAGGATATCATTCTTGGTAATTCCTTATGTAAGACTTTTTAATATCTCATAAATGGTTCCCTAAAATTATGTGAAATATTTTGTCTGTTAATGTCATATGCTGTTGTCTGTTGCTATAACTAAATACCTGGGACTGGGTAATATTTAAAGTAATGAAACTTATTTCTTACCTTTCTGAAGGCTGGAAAATACGTGGTATAGGGGTTATGCCTGGTGAAGGACCTTTTGCTAGTAAGGCATCTCTTCAGAGTTTCAAGGCAGTGTAGGCATCACATGGTTAGGGAACTTAGTGTGATAGTTCACGGTCTTATTCTCCTCTTACAAAGCTACTAATGTCCCACCCTCATAAACTTATTTAATTCTAATTCCCTCCCAAAGTTCCCACCTTTAATTACTGTAGTCAGATTTCCCACCCTCTTGATACTATTAAAATGGAGATTCAGTTTTAACATGAATTTCAAAAGGGACAAACAGTTAAATTATATAGCATTTAGCAATGTCTTTTTGGTAGAAAACTGTGAAGAATATTTAGAATGCCACAATTAATTATCAAATAACTACACTGTACCTCAAGGCGTAACAGCCCCGAAAGTAATATTAAATATTAATTTATTTAGATGTGCTTTGTCTGGCTCATCTTCTGCAATACATGAATCTGCAACATATTATGTCATTGACAATTAAGGCTATGAATGATTACCCATGTTAAGGGTCAAGATATTTAAGCATAAGTTCTAGCGTTTTTTTTTTTTTTTTTTTTTTTTTTTTTTTGAGACAGAGTCTCACTCTTTCACCCAGGCTGGAGTGCTGTGGTGTGATCTCAGCTCACTGCAAGCTCCGCCTCCCGGATTCATACCATTCTCTTGCCTCAGCCTCCCAAGTAGCTGGGACTACAGGCGTGGCGCCCGCCACCATGCCTGGCTAATTTTTTTGTATTTTTAGTAGAGACAGGGTTCCACCGTGTTAGCCAGGATCTCCTGACCTCGTGTTCCACCCGCCTCGGCCTCCCAAAGTGCTGGGATTACAGGCGTGAGCCACCTCACCTGGCCAAGTTATAGCTTTCTTAATTTCCTTGGTTTTATTTTTAAGTTTAATGCTTATAAAGGTGTTGTTACGAATGCTTGACAGAAATAACTCCGACAAATTGAGGGCTCTGTGAGCTCTTATAAACAACCAACTGAAAAAATGAACACAGAGTAAATTAGTAGAGTAAGAGAGTAAGTAAGCCTACTTACCCACTGCAACCTCGAGATAGCTCAGTGTAGATCTTTCAGGTAAACACAATGGTAGATACCGCCTCGGTATTCTTTACTTCTCCTTTTGTTGGGAGATTTTGTACTTATTTGACCATAGTTTTCAGGTCTTTGCAAACTTTACCTGCACAAAGGTAGAAACAGCTGCACTTATTTGAGACAACATTATTTTACTCCTTATTCAAAAGAAAGTCCATAGTCCATAATTTCAATTTTAAACTTGTCAGTAGCATAGTTTATCACACCTACTTCTCTTTTTATTTTTCATATCTAGCAAAACTCTCAAACTAGATAAATCTATCTATTGCATTTCCCATCTATTACATTTAGAACTGAGATAACTATGCCCTATTGGAAAAGGTCACACAAAAGTGCAGATTGGTTCCACTTTCGATTTATGATTACCAAGCACAAATGCAATCTCAACATGACCCAAAAATTGATCTATATTTCTCTGATCTCTGTTTGCTCTATCACATTCCACAGGTATTTCAGACTTTTACAACTCCTTTAAAAATCTTGACTTCTCCAATTTCCTAGTTTATTTCAGTAGGTTATCTTTTCCTATCTAAGATCCATTTCTGTTGCTTGGATTCCATTCTCTACCTCTTCATGACCTTTACAGCATTGATTATTCATGCTTCTTTACATATTTAACCTTTCTCAATGTTTATCCTTTCTCATAAAGGATCCCTTCACCCCACTTTCTGCTCAATCACTACTACACTTCTCTCTCCATTTCTAGCTAACCTTTGTGAAACATTATCTGCACTGTCTTTGTTATCTCGCCTCTGTCTCAGGTAGAAGACCATGCTCTGTGGACTCACTTAATCTGTACAAAGAGTCCTCTCTAAATGTAGTTAAACATTTTTCAATCCTTAGTTTTTTGAGTTCTCAGTAGCATTCAAGATTGTTAACTATTTTAGAAAGACTCATAGTTTGCAGTCAATGACCAATACTGTTTTTTTTTCCCTCTCTGCTATTTTTCTGGTTAAAATTCCTCAAAGCTCAGGCCTAGGCTGTCTCTTCTTCTCACACTGTAAGCAATGTCACACATTGTTGGCTTTAAATATTATTCATTTTATGGTGTATGGTAAACAAAACCTCTCCTCTATTCCACTTATTTTTCATCTGTACTTAGATATTTCAAAGATATGTCAATATCATTATCCTCAAAGTTAACCAATAGGCTTACATATCAAATGTGATATTATTCCAATGTCAGCATCTCTTGTACAGTTGAATTATATAATCAGATACAGAAACCAGAAAGCTATGAGCTATTCAACTACTTTCTCACTCAAGTTATATAATACAGTATTAAAACTTTACTAAGTCCCTTTTGAATGTACTAAATTTTATTCATCCAAGTTTCCCATTGCAGGCCAAACCACTATCATCTCTCATCTGGACTACTCAATAGCTTTGCATGAATCACCTTCCAACCCACTTTTTTTATTGCAGCCAGTAAACATTCAAAAACACAGACATTATCATCTGTTTACTCCAAAGCCTTTCTATTGTATTTAGAATAAAGCCTTTTTTTTTTTTTTTTTTTTAGAAAAAATATAAGACTCTTTATTTTCTGATTCTCTGCTTTTACTTCAAATGGTGCTGCCACCTGCTTCCCAGCACCACTGTGTTTCCTTCAGTTTCTCCCAAATGTGTCACTCTTTTTCTAATGCACTAATATGCTGATATACCTAGTCAGCCTTTTCATGTGCTTTTGCCTCTGGGTGGAGCACTATTCACCCTCCTCTAAAACACACTCACAGTTTTACTTGGTAGTGTACATCATTCCTCAAGGCTCTGCTTAACTGTGACTTCTGCCATGTTCTCACTTCCCAGACTAGTTAAATCCTTCGCTATGTGCTTTGAGACTATCTACTTTCATCGTGTCTGAGCTAATTCTGACACAATTAATCTTATTGAGTAAAGGCCTATGATTAAAAATAAGTTAGACAGAAAACATATGATCATCTCAGTAGACACAGAAAAAACATTTGACATTTGACAAAATCCAGCATCCCTTTATGATTAAAAAAAAAAAAAAAAAAAAACCCTCAGCAAAATTGGCGTAGAAGGGATATACCTCAACGAAAAAAAAGCCATCTGATAGGGTTTGGCTCTGTGTCCCCACCCAAATCTCATCTCAAACTGTAATCCTCATGTATTGAAGGAGGAACCTAGTGGGAGGTGATTGGATCATGGAAGCTGTTTCCCCCATAGTGTTCTCATGATTGTGAATGAGCTCTTATGAGATCTGATGGTTTTATAAGTGGCAGTTTTCCGTGCTTTCTCACTCTGTCTCTCTCTCGCTCGCTCTTTCTCAATGTCTGAATCTCACCTGCCACCATGTAAGATATACCTTGCTTCCCCTTAGGCTTCTGTCATAATTGTAAGTTTCCTGAGGCTTCCTCAGTTATGCGGAACTATGAGCCAATTAAACATTTTTCCTCCTCAAATTACCCAGTCTAGGGTATTTCTTTATAGCAGTGTGAAAACAAAACTAATACAAGAAAGTTGTGCTGTAGAGAGTGGGGCACTGCTATAAAGACAATCTAAAAATATGGATGCAACTTTGGAACTAGGTAACAGGTAAAGGTTGAAACAGTTTGGAGGGCTCAGATGAAGACAGGAAGATGAAGAAAGTTTGGAAATTCCTGTAGACTTTTGAATGGTTTTAACCAAAATACTGATAATAATATGAACAATAAAGTCCAGGCTGAGGTACACTCAGATGGAGATGAAGAACTTATTGGGAAATGGAGCAAAGGTCACTCTTGCTATGCTTTAGCAAAGAGACTGGTGGCATTGACCTAGGTGCTCAAGATCTGTGGAACTCTGTAATTGAGAGAGAGATCTGAAATTGGAATTTATGTTTTAAAAGGGAAGCAAAAAAAAAAAAAAAAAAGAAAAAAAAAAGCTTCTGCATAGGAAGAAAAATAATAATAATAATCAACAGAGTAAACAGACAACCCACAAAGTGAGAGAAAATAGTAACAAACTAAGCATCTGACAAAACATTAATATCAGAATCTTCAAGAAACTCAAATAAGCAAGAAGAAAACAGTAACCCCATATAAAAATGGGCACAGGACGTGAATAGACATTCCTCAAAAGAAGATATACAAATGCCCAACAAACATATGAATAAATGCTCAAGATCACTAATGACTGGGGAAATGCAAATTAAAACCTCAGTGAGATACCACCTTCTCCTCCAAGAATGTCTATGATTAAAATAATATCAAAAAAATAGATGTGGGTGTGGTGAAAAGGGAACACTTTTTTACTACTGCTGGCAATGTAAACTAGCACAACCACAATGGAAAACAGTATGGAGATTCCTTAAAGAACTAAAAGTAGAACTACCATTCAATCAAGCAATCAAAATACTGGGTATCTACCCAGAGGAAAATAAGTCATTATATAAAAAGGACACTTCCACATGCATGTTTATAGCAGCACAATTCACAGTTGCAAAAATATGGAAGTAGCCTAAATGCCCAGTGACCAATGAGTGGCTAAAGAAAATGTGATATATATGTATATATATCATATATATGTGTATATATGTGTGTGTATGTGTGTATATATATGTGTGTGTGTGTGTATATGTGTGTGTGTATATATACATATATCTTCACCATGGAATACTACTTAGCAATAAAAGGACTGAAATAATGGCATTTGAAGTAACCTGGTTGGAGTTGGAGACCATTATTCTAAGTGAAGTAACTCAGGAATGGAAAATTAAACATTGCATGTTCTCATTTATAAGTGGGAGCTATAAGGATGCAAAGGCATAAAAATGATATAATGGACTTTGGGGTACCGGGAGGAAGGGTAGGAGTGGGGTTTGGGATAAAAGACTACACATTGGTTACAGTGTACACTGCTCAGGTGATGGGTGCACCAAATTCAGGAATCACCACTAAAGAACATATTCATGCAGCCAAAAACCTCCTGTTCCCCAAAAACTACTGAAATAAAATAAAATAAGGCTGAGAGGTGCTACAATATTTCTTCATGTAAATTACCAGGTAAATTTAACAGCCGCTGAATGGGAGGGAAATCTGTGTACCTAGTAAGTCTAGAAACTTCTGAACCAGTATCTGTGGTGTAACTGATTTATTATTTTCTTTTACAGTAATATAAAGGCTGATATGAACCTGAATTCTTCCCAAAGGAAGAAAACCTCAAGTACCAGAGCCCCAATTTAGGTCCATATTTTTTTCTAATTTGTCCACCAACATTTCTCCAAAAATGAGGATGTTCTCATTTTCTCCACATCCTTCCCATTATGTACTTGCAGCTCTCCAATGATTATTATTATACTAACCTATTCATGGAAATGCTTTCATCTATTTTTTCTAATGGAAGCATACTCCCATTTTTCCATTTATTTTTTTCCACTTTCATCCAAGACATAAGTTATCCACCCTCTCGCACATCCTATTATTCAATATTTGACCTTAAATATCTCCCCCGTCAAGATGACTGACAGCTAACACTAAGACATCAGGTGCAATACTGAAATTTTTTTCTTAAGAAAAAGATCTTGAAAAATCTTACTATACCTTTGAATATTTCTGTGTCTTTGAATATTCTTTGCCTTAACTCCCTGTAGGACTAGAAACTCCTAACTCTCCAAATTTCCATATAAAATGTGCATTCTCAAGATTGTGAACATTAAGCAGAATATATACTTTATAATTTGACCTCTGTTATTTAGGGAAGTGTTCACATTTTTAAATATGTAAAACCAAGTGGAAATGTGAATGCAGGAGTCTACTAACACTAATAAAATATTTCTTCTTCTCAATACAAAATTTCTCAACATTTTTCTGGCAACTGTTCTTTGGAAACCCTATCGTAAGCCCTCAGCCCTTTTTTTTTTTTTTTTTTTTTTTTAATTTTAATGAAAGACCCTGGCTTTACTTAAAGTTACTCAATGCCAGGAAAATAATGGAATGCCTTTGTTGTTCCAAACTTTTTATATAAGGAAAGTATAAAATGCATCTTTTGTTGCCTACATAATTGAAGGGTACTTTTGAAATGAACTTTTGATAGTTTATACTTCTAAACTTTAACATTTGTTCAGAATTTAAAAATATGAATATAGTGATATGTAAACTCATTGTTCATAGAACGGTATATTAATTGTAACTGACCCAAACCAATAATATATGTCTAACAAACCGAACTATATTAGCAGCTGAGTTAAATCAAATGTAAAATGTTTTTCTTTAAAAAGGGTAAGTTCTCAAAAATATGAGAAAAATAGGATTTCAATATTTCCCAGTACTCTCATTTTTAAGTTTTTCCCTCTTTCTTCATCAATGTCTTGGGCACTTTATTTCACACTTCTAAGTGAAATTTTAAAATTTGCAACATGTTCAGAAAAGTGCACTAGTTACAGGGATACCAGATAATGTATTTTTTTAAGGAGTATACATTTATCATCAGTACCCAGATCAAAAACAGTCTTCAAAATCTTTCATTTCATTCACTGAAATAGCTTAATATTGAATGCCTTAGTCTTTCTTTGTGCAACCTCCTTTAATTTTTTGCTAGGCCATCTGTTTTCTTATTTTTGCCTATATTATCCCCAGTCTAGAATATTCTAACTTACTCCTTCATTCGACTTACTAATTAAAACACACATTCACATACAAGCATGCACAGTAATATAGTAAATACGTAAAAGAATGGGGGCAAAGGCTAAAAGATAAATGGCTGCAGAGATAAGCATTAGAAATATACCAGTATGCGGGTTGGGCTCGGTGGCTCATGCCTATAATCCCAGCACTTTGGGAGGCTGAGGCAAGTGGATCACCTAAGGTCAGGAGTTCAAGACCAGCCTGACCAATATGGTGAAATCCCATCTTTACTAAAAATATAAAAATTAGCCAGGTGTGGTGGCATGTACCTGCAAGTCCCAGCTACTGACACAGGAGAATTGCTTGAACCTGGGTGGCAGAGGTTGCAGTGAGCCGAGATTATGCCACTGTACTCCAGCCTGGGCAACAGAGCAAGACTCCATCTCAAAAAAAAAAAAAAAAAAAAAAAAAAAAGACAAAAAGAAATATACCAGTATGCTAGAGATCTGTATCAATGTGCTAGTTAAAGCCATAAATAATTCTCCTTTGCACTTAATTGATAATTTTTTCCCTGTTAGCTGTTTTAGCAATTTATTTTGCATTATGTTTAGTAGCATTGTTTTAAAAATCATTTTGTGGACTTAGACATAAAACCCTGAGTATTTATTTGTACTT